ACTCAATAAATATTGATGGATCACATTGAGTCTGACATTTGGGAGGAAAAGGCCAAAAAAAAAAAGGCTGTCGTTTCATCAAATAACTCCTTCCCAAAGGCCCTCAAAATAACTTGTGACGCTGGGGGCTCTGGCAATGGTTTACACATTATCCTGTGAGATCCTGGGGTTCTATTAGAAATGTTCCAAGTTTCATAAAGATGGAATCTAAAACCCACATGTGTGTTTGTGTTTAAATAGATACTATTTTAAAAGCCAGAGAAGAAACCTAAAAAACAATGTGTTACATCCAGAATGGCAACCAAAGACCCGCAGTGGGTTAGCAGGAGCTTCAGCCCGTGGGAAGGAAGCTTTCTCCTGCTGAACTTTTTTGTAAGCCTTGAGTATTTGGTTCAGAAGATTGTGACTTCACTGACTTTTTACAATCTAGATCTAGAGTACCCATTGTCATAAAATAGAATGAGTAACATCTCCCCTTTCCTCTGGGGAAATTAAGACTTTGCTGTTGCCCAGCCAAGTCAAAATTCAGAAATAAACTAAGTTTTAGACTAGATCTGAAACTGCCATCCAACATTCCATTACATTCTTTTTTATTGGTGTCGGGGTTTGAACTCAGGGCTTTGCTAGGCAGACACTAGTATTTGAGGCACATTCTGCTTTTAGTTATTTCTCAGACAGGGTTTCCTATTTTTGTTCAGGGCTAGCCTCAGACTGTGATCCTCCTACCTACACTTCACTTAGCTAGGAGTATAGGTAAGTGTCATCATCTCTGGCTTTTTTTATTCAAATGAGGGGTATGTCTCCTTAACTTTTTGCTAGGCTGGCCTCAAACCATAATCCTCCTACTGTGCCTCCCAAGTAGCTAGGATTACAGTGTGAGACACCATGCCTGATTCAATTAAAATTTCTTTATAGTCATCATTAAAACAGCTGTGTGTTCTTAATGGTTATATGCAGCTGGTATGCATTTGGTACTTTATAGCAATGAAGTACTGCTTTTGATTTAATATTTTTAATATAATGAGGTGCCAGCTCCGACTTTGATTTAAAACCAAGAGAACTCCTTCTTCCATCATAAAAGGAGACTTCTGGGCAAACAAATTACCTTCATTTTGGAACCTGGACGTGTCCTGTTAGAAATGGAGCAAAGTCAAGTATGCCACAAGGGGATTCAGTGCATTCACTACCCAGCTGCAGCCTGCAAACATAGAGAGCACATTACATTTCACCCTGTTGAACTAAGTAATCATCATTATTTATTATTTAGATAAAGTACAGGACTGCCACCAGTCTGTATGGGTTCATTTAAACACATTGTGTTTTAAACACAATGTATATTTAAACACACGTGTGTGTGCATGCACACACAAATGTGCATGTACTAGTACTGAGGCTTGAACTCAGGAACTTGGACTTTTGCTCAACATTTCCATTCACTGCTGGCACTCTACCACTTGAGCCATATCTCCAGTTCCAGCTTTTTGTTGACTAATTGGAGATGAGTCTTCAATATTTGTCTCCTTGGGCTGGTTTAGAACCTTGACTCTCAGATCTCAGCCTCCTGGGTAGCTAGGAGTACAGGCCTGAATCACTGATGCCTGGCCATTCAAAAAACTTTTTGAGGTACATAAGACTCTTAACACTATAGCTTTTTTTTGTTTGTTTCTATCACTATAGATTTTTTCCCTGTGGTTTCAATTACCTGCAGTAAACCACAGTCCAAAACTATTAAATGGAAAATTCTAGCAATTGCAAATTGTTTTGAGTAGTATGATGAAATCTCAGACTATTGCCACTCCGTCCTTCTTAGGATGAGAATCACTGCTTTTGTTTGACGTATCCACACTTTATATGAGTCACTTGGTAGCTGTCTTAGCTATCAGATTGACAGTTCCAATATCAAAATGCTTGTGTTCAAGTAACTTGTATTGTACTTAATAATGGTCGCAAATTGCAAAAGTAGTGACACTAGCATTTTTATTAGTTTATATTTATTGCTTTATCATTAATTATTGCCTTTAGTTTCTTATTGTGCCTAATTTATAAATTATATCATAGGGCTGGACACTATGGCTCATGCCTATAATTCCAGCTGCTCAGGAGGCAGAGATGGGATGATCACAGCTCGAGCTCAGACTGGAGAACAGTTAGTGAGATCCAGTCACAATAAAACAAGCCAGGGATGGGCCTGTCATCCTAGCTACATGAGCATGAGGCAGTAAGTAGGAGGATCTTTATTTGAGGTCAGCCCTGTTCAAAAATTCAAGACCCTACCTAAAAAGTAACCTCAAGGGAAAAAAAGGACTGGAAGTGTTGCTCAAAGTAGAACAGTGTCTTGGTAGCAAGTACAAGTGTCTCAACTCACACCCCATTACCAACCCCCAAAATTACATCATAGGTACATATAGAGGGAAACCCAGTGTATATGTAGGGTTTGGGACTAGCTGGGTTTGGGGCATCCATAGGGAGGCTTGGAATGTAACCTAAATAGACAAGGAATGAGAATGAGACACTGTCATTTTTGGGGTTTGGTGGCAGGAAATGAACCCAGAGCCTCACATGTTAAACAAATGCTCTACTACCTTCAGCCCTAGTCACTTTTAAAGAAGGTCCTAAAGATGGATTGAGGAAGTAGACTAGCTTCTCAGAAGCACTTCTATCAAGCTTCATGTCTGGAACATGAGATTATGCCACAGTGCTGTCAGTATGCAAGATGTCCTTTTAATGAAGCAGCTGAAATCAGTTTAACAAGGGCTTTGCCTGAGCTGCATTCATTCTCATTTAGCTTTCCCTCTTGGCAATGAAAAGCCTTGCCAGATGGGCAGCTATCAGTTTAACCAACCCAAACCCACACTGGTTTCAGTTCTTACAGTCAGGAGCTACAGAAAGTGGGAAGGCAGCTAGTCATTCACCAGCTTGGCTGGCTGGTGACTCCAAGCACATTCTCTAGCTCATGTTGATGACCCAATGTCCATCTATAGAGAGAAACTGCCTCCTCCCACACAACCATGCTGGCCCTCTGAAGCAGTGGAGCTATTCAAAACATGGCCAGTGGGGCATGAAATCTGAAGAGCAAATGCTGGAATTAGGAAGAATTTAGGTAGGTGGAGTGTGATTAGAGAAGTTCAACTGTATCCAGACCATTGAGTTCTCCACTAATGATATAAAAAAGCATGCTGTGGGCTTGTCATTCCACCTAAGCCTATTAATATTGTCTAAATGATTAAAAGATCTTATGTCCCATTAACCACCAATGATAAAAATAAGTAAACCCTGAGCAGATGGCCACTTTAGTGGAGTACTAGCCCCAACCACAACAGTCCTCTAGGATGCAAGATGACTTTTTTTTTAGTGACCATAATTGACAAAAGCACATGTCATAAAATTCATATGGTACCAGGGCTTTGGGGCTATGGAACAGAGAAAGTATCCTGTCCATATTCAACTAGCAATGAATCCAGAAGTGTGCATGATTTTAAAAGCACACAACAAATGATTTAGAAAGTGCCCAAAAGTGTTTCAACTGTGTCTTTCATAGCTTTTCTGCAGAAAGAACAGATAGTAGCAGCTTTTTTTCTTGTTGCTGATTTTACCTGGTTCTTGAAAGTCAGTAGCACCAGTTGCTTTACCTCCCACTCAGGTGTTTCCCTGAAGTTAGAAGCATCAGATAAATGGGGAGGGGGGGTACTAATCTAGAATTGGTAAAAATAGGTGACACTCAGTTGAAGTATGTGGTATAGGTGGTGAAGGAGAGTATATTTCCTTTGGGTAGTTACACATTGGCCTATTTGGATTTTCTTTCTTACAGTCAGAGAAGAGACAGGCTTCCTTGATGGCAAAAGAAAGGGTTTCAACATCATCAGGTACTCTGGTGGACAGCAAACCACTTGTCCAGTAGTAGCTCACCATGGGGAAACACCTAACAGGGGATGACTGATTTGGACAACAGCAAAAGCAGGCATAGATGTGTGGCTAAATTACCATTGGAACCCATGTTATGCTTGCCTCAGATGCCTGCCCAGGTTAGATCGGCCAAATCAATGTTAATCAACATCACTGAGTCCAGGACCCAGGGCTAGGTACAAGTATGACATGTGCCAATAATATTGTAGGGAGCAGTTGCAGCCAGGTAACCTTTCCTCAAAAGCTATTTGGAAGGAAATCCATCAGGTCCTAGCTATACTATTTCAGAATCTTCTCATGTTAACCTTTTTTTTTTTTTTTTTTTTGTCGGTCGTGGGGCCTGAACTCTGGGCCTGGGCGCTGTCCCTCAGCTCTTCAGCTCAAGGCTAGCACCCTACCACTTGAGCCACAGTGCCACTTCCAGCTTTTTTCAGCTTATGTGGTGCTGAGGAATCAAACCCAGGGCCTTATGGATGTGAGGCAAGCACTCTACGACTGAGCCAACTTCCCAGCCTTCCTGTTAACCTTTTAGTAACAAGTACTGATGAGATCAACATTCTACTATTAGAATAGTTAAATAAATAGCCAGGCGCCAGTGGCTCATGCCTGTAATCCTAGATACTTAGGAGGCTGAGATCTGAGGAACATGGTTCAAAGCCAGCCCAGGCAGGAAAAGTCTGTGAGACTCTTATCTCCAATAAACCATTCAGAAGACTGGAAGTGGTGCTGTGGCTCAAGTGGTAACGAGCTAGCCTGGAGCTGAAGAGCTGAGGGACAGTGCCCAAGCCCAGAGTTCAAGCCCCAAAACCGACAAAAAAAGTTAAATAAACAAGAAGCTGGGCACCAATGGCTCACACCTATAATCCTAGCTACTCAGGAGGCTGATATCTGAGGACAATGGTTTGAAACCAACCTGGGCAGGAAAGTCAGTGAGACTCTTATCTCCAATTAACCACCAGAAAACCAGAAGTTGTGCTGTGGCTCAAAGTAGTAGAGAGCTAGCCTTGAGCAAAAAAGCTCAAGGACAGTGCCCAGGTCCTAAGTTCAAGCCTCACAACTGACCAAAATAAACCAACCAACGAACAAGATGTGATAACTTGATTTTAACATTTTATTGGGTAAATGATTTTAAAGGTAATAACAATAGTGTCAAAACTACTACAATATCTTTCCACAGCCATACCTTACAGACCCACATAAACCTTATATTTTTTTTCTTTTTGCACATTTTTTTTAATATTTTAAAGCCATACATGTCATATAAAATGCCCATTTCCAATAGTTTCTTCAAACTATTAAGCAATTAAATGTGGAAGGAAGGAGGACCTAGTTATATGTGAAGGGGATTTTGGGTAATCTGTGATGTCTTACTGTAATCAAAAGACAGGTTACTAAGAAAGAAGGAAAATAGGAGCTACTCCAGGTAGCTTTTTGCTCAGTACAATCTCACCAATAACTCAATATGCTGGTGACCTATTCAACATAATTTTGGGGAACATATAAAACACTAAAATAACTTAGAAACTAGATCCAAATATTTCAAAAGTAATCAACTTTGATATACAAAAGCAGTTAGAGGTGGTTACAAAAGTTTTATTTTCTCAGTGCATCATCTATATACCAGCGTAGTTTACTGGGTCCAGAGCAAAATAAAAGTTTTTTTTTTCTGAAACAGTAATAAAAAACAAGGAAAACATATCTTTGTATATAAAGAATCAATGCTGGTCTTAAGAATAATGTAATCAGAAACCCTTAAATCGAGAGGCACACAATGGGTTTCCACTTTTAAAAAATAAAAGGAAAGTCACCAGTTTATTTAAATGGAGGAGGCATTCACACCCCTCAAATAAACTTAATTCAATTTAACATCACTAGCAAAAATCACTTAGAAACTGTACAAAAATAAAAAAGTGAACACACATAATCCTGCAAGGTTTTTTGTAAGGACTGGAAGGCAGGCTTTTGGAGCAGCATTTGGGCATGGCTGGGGGCTTCTTTGGTTTGATCTAACACACATAAGAGATGGAATCTATTCCAGATGACAGTTTCAAATTTCTTGCACATTTGAAGACAAGAGGCCGGTATACAAACTTCCGGTGTGCTGGGCATCGGGACTGTATGCACTGGACTGAAAACTTCACAAATGTTTTAAGTAGAGTGAGGGAAGAGAGCAAGCTTTGTACTTCCCCCATCAATTTTACTGTCCTCTTAAGGTAGGGGAGACTAGAGAGGGCAGTAGCATGTTCTCAGCGCAATCAGAAGGCCACTTGAAGGGTGGGGGAGAGGGGACAATTATTCCTTTAGAATCTGGTACCTGGCTGACTTTAAGAACAAAAAAACCTTTCCAGAAATGGAAGCCTTTTGCTACATACCAAAACACACATACTATTTTCCAAGAGGAAAAAATACCCAGTTACATTGGAAAACAGAAAAGTGTAACTAGTTAACATTTACAAGGGGCTATGTAAACTTTGTGCTACTCAATATGAAGTTCAAGTATTACTTCTGAGCATTTAAAGATCACTGAACTTATACGATATTCCGGTGAGTAAGAGTGCAATTCACATTTGTGTTTCTCAACGAATAAACCACAACTGGCTAGAACATAACCTGTGCAATTAGAATGTTTGTCCAAGTTAAAGACACATGCTACGTAGTTCCACATGTTCAAAGTTAAGTCAAACCACATATTTAACAGCTTTGTAATATACAACAAAGGTGAAAGGTGAAAAGGTCTAGCATTTGTTTAAAGCACACCATTACAGTTTGTATAACACCCTTTACACTACAAAGTCTTTTAGTCAACAGCTACTTAGACACAAAAAATGCATTGTGCATCAACTTTAATACAAAAGGAGACAAAACTATCCTTTTTCCCCCAAGCCATGGTGGGAAATATTGCTGACCTCGTCCTTTGAAGCCTGCAGGATGGTTATATCTTCAGTATAACATTATTACACTGGTATGAAAATCTGTATAACATCTGCATATATCAAGAATTTTAAAAAATCTGATATGATTTTAGAGTCCGCATGACCAGTCACGTGACCTGCTCAAGATTGATTAGCACCGTTAAATACATAAATACACACATATGTGTGTAGGTGTATGTAAGTAATGTGTACACATACACACATATGTGTGTGATAGATCTTTTCTTTAAAAAACAAACAAACTTCTAACCATAAGCTCACCCAGGATGAGGAGCCTGCTGAACTGATGAGATGATAGTTAAGATGGATTTCACAATAATATTGGTCTAGGTCTATTTTGTCTCTCTTTAGTTTGTTTCATTTACCTTTTTTGCAGCAAACAGTATCATTCAGCTTGTGCTCAGTTTCCCTATAAGGGCAAAATAGTTCCTATCAGGTAGCCTCCTATTTTTATACTGAAAGACTAATCTATTCCAAAATGCTCCCAAGTAGAAACGACTGCATTTTGAATTCATTTCTTTTAAAGTCTAAGGATTTCATTTTCCTGACTCATCTCTTTTCAGTGGAACTGGCTACCTAGATTGCATTTCAGGCTATCTAGCAATTGGCTTCTTAAGGCATCTCAACTGAAAATGGTTGTTTAAATAATGGATGCTGTGGATGAAAGAACACCATCAAACTTCTAAGAATTCTCATCAAACACTAAAGTAGTGTGCTTTGCCCCAGTGGCAAGCAGAAGGGAGTCAGCCAACTAGCTCATGAACTAGAAAAAGGGTTCTGAATTCTGAATTAGCAGTCTGTCACTTGTCACAGCAACTATATGTATAAGCTACATCATTTCAATATTCAGAGACATTTCTACAGTTTTAGAATATATATTCTGCAGCATACTTTTATCACTTGATACACCAATTTCCTGTTTGAAAATTATATATTTTCCCCAAATATATATCTATCTATCTCTATCTCTATATATATTACCATAAAGTCAAGGCCATCTTTTGCCAAAATTATTTATGTTTTTTTTTCCCCTGGGGATATACATATAGACCTTCTGTTGACATCACTAATTTTTCCTTGTGCTCATCATGGGAAGACTTGCCCCACATATGAGCTAGGCTCTAACCTTTAGCATAATTGAATGCCAACCACATCTTTACAGGTATGACAGAACATCTTATCAACAAAGCAAATGTGTTTCTATCAAAAGTATGTAGTGCAGAAAGAGATTCAAACTATTTTATAGGCTCTCTGAAACTCTGGTATTGTCTCCACGGCAAGCAAACATATTTGAAGTCATGGTTGTATGAACTTTTGTTTCACTAGATTATCTTTACCATATCTTTAGATGGTAGTGAAAACTATCTCTGGCCAATTGTGACTTCCTGAAACCTTAACCTAACAAATTTAACTTAATAGAAAATAGACAAATGTCTTTTGGTTATTTGCTCAAAATAACTTTTTCAGCTAAAAAAATACATTAAGAGTAAGGAATTTGTCTAATCTCTTGTTTCCCATATAGAAACAATAAATTTTACAAGAATATTTCTCTACATTGCCTTTTTGAACCCCTCTTAATTTTATAGTCTTCTCAAAGGCACTAAGTTCTGCATCTGTTTTCTTCCTAATATTTGCTGCTTTTCAAAATGATTTCTGTAGCATATTTGAAAGGTACTTTCTTAAAACAGTGATTTAGTTTATGAACTGATTCTATAATGGGGTGAGGCAGTCTTTCATGACAACCAGCATAGTAGGCATAAATGGTTCTTTTTCTCTGTGACAAGCCCTATCATGTATCTTTAAATGTTTGTTACTAACATTCATATATATTAACCACAGGAAAAATAAATTTTTAAGGAATGATGACCTAAATATGAAGCTGTCATAGCAAAGGGAATTTTAGGCAAATTCAAGAGTAATATACAAAGACCTGAATTTGATATGAATTACTCCCAAACCCATCTACCAAAACATAACTCTCTTACTGAGGAAAACTTACTAGACAAATCTAAACAAGATCCTTAAAAACTGCACACTTTCTTCCATCCACAGTCAAAAAAGAAGGTGGGAAGGAAGGAAGAAAAAGTAAAGGATGAAAGGCAATAAAGACAAACCTGTTTGAGATAGCAAAGCAAAATTCTATCTAATATTGTAAGAAAAGAAAAATCCCAAAAGTTATACATGATGCTGCAAAAAAAAATCAATGCTTAAAAATAAGAAAACAAGATCTTCTTAACAAATGTCACTTTCCTACCCGTTACCATGATGATCTTAAATGACAATGTCGAAGTTTCACCATGGCAACGGAAACTATCATCATAAAATGGTACAGTAAAAGAGATAGCTAGACCAAGAAGGTGGAGGGTCTCCTGGGAAGAGGTCTGCAGAGAGGCCCAATGACTGGTTGTGCGGCTCAGTGTCAGGAATAATGGTTGTATGGAGGAAGGGGATGCCCAATGCCATTTTGGAAGTGATGATGCTGGCGATGAGCAAGGTATTCAGCATAACTCAAGGTCATCTTTTCACTACGGTACCTAAAAGAAAATCAGGGAAGAGAAAGTTAACATCAAGAAGTAGGTGATATACCTAATCAGAAAACAAGAGGTGTAGAAAGAATCAGTGACTTCCCATGGTCATACCACCAGTAAGTACCAAAGCTGAGATCACAACACAGAAATCCAAACTCTGAATCTAGGATTCTTCCTACTCCTTGTTTGAATATTCTGCAAAATTGAATACCCCTTTAGTCCTAGTTTGCTTACAGGAAGGAACAAAACACCCAATCTGCATCTCATTCACTTGAGTATTTGCTTCACAGATCTTTCATCTTTCCCCCATTTATCATTCCTTCCTTTCCACACATAAACTTGGGTTTTACTATTAACTACGACTGTTCTTAATGCTAGATCCAGAACTCTTTCTTTGCCCTAAGTCTAGCTTTCTTTTCATTGAAGGTAGCTTCTACCTTCAATGCACTTCTCAAACTACTTTCTGGCCAAGTGCTTCTGCTACTACTCTTCCATAGACAGCTATCGGAAGGCAGCTTGATTGTATCTGACCTTTCTACGATGATAGTGCTTACTACTCTGTTTTTGAAGCTCTCTAGTTCTTTCATGCCTGTCAGATGGCTTCTTAGCCATCTCAGATCTGCTCCTGCCTCTTTCATCTCTTTGCTCCTCTTAGCTCTGCTTTATAGGATTTTCCTAGTTTGCATCTTTACATGGTTGACTTTATATTTTGTCCCTCTCAGAGATCTGATCCTTATAGCTTCAGCTATGATCTCTGAAGATGTACCAAAGGTATTATCTCTTAGTCATAAGCTTTGCGCCTCCCCATTTTCAGTGACCTACTACTAGACATTCCTAGGAGTACTTTAAATCCAGAACTGAAACTTAAGTCTAAGTCTCCTCCTGTCATCACTACGTCCCTTCAACAGTCTCTTTTATCTAGATGAAAACCTTGACTTCCTAATTTCTAAATGATAACCAAATCCTGCCACTTCTTCTATAATATCTGCCCCAGCCTTTCTTCCCATCTGAATTCCCTTCAATGCACCTCATTTGAATTGCTGCCACAGACACTTCCATGACAGTGTTGTTTCTTAGCTATTGTTTCTGTTTCTAGTTCCAATCATACACTTCTCCAAACCTATTTGGTTTATCTACAGCTGCTACCAAATGCCTAGTTTGGACTGTCAGATCCAACTCACCTTCTGGACCATATTTTCCTTGAATACTGTATTTTATATGTGCACTGAACACTAGCCAAGTAGGAGTATTTCACATTGCTTAAGACTTGCTTTGTACTTTGCCACCTACATGCCTTCATTCAACATCTTAGGGAAATCCCTTTTCCTCAGATATTCTACCCACTCTGCAAGCACAGCTCTCAATCCACCTCCTCTTTGAAACCTTCTGTTACTCCTCTACTCCTTCCTGGAATTCCTCTTTCTTGGCTTTACAATCTTATATCATCCATCATACTCTGCCTTATAGTAATAGTTATTTTTGTACATGCCCTTCTATTCTCCCCACTATAAAGTTAGGGAGAGCAGAAATGGAGGCATTTTCAAATTTGTAACTGCTCAGAGCTGAGAATAGTCCATTTTTAGACTAGAGGCATTCAATACAGTTCTCTAGAATTGAAATACATGGAAACAGCAACCTGTTTTCCTAAAATGTTTGATATTTTCCTTTTTAAGTAAGAATCCCTATTATTCCATGCTGAAATTTATTTAGTATTCAAGTTTAGCTCAATTGTGTTTCTCAATAAGCTTTCATGGTACTCTTCAATCACTGCCAAAATTCTAATGTTAAATTCAAATTCAAAGACTGCTTATCAGAATCCTGGGGTTCTGCTAGGCAGTGTGAAAAGCTGGCAGAATAGCTAATTCTGGTGCTTTCTCTAGTAAGGTAGTCTAAAGTCTCAGAGGGCTTGTTGGTACAAAGCCAGAGTAATCACACAGAGATAAAGATGGGAAGGATGGACTCATAGATCATACAGGCTTTTCTGCCAAGCAGAGTCCCATTATATCAATCCTCAGTATGTCCCTGCCTTCATTTCCTCTATTTTATAAGAGGAAAGTAAGTACAGTTAGAGAGACCAAAGATATAAAAGGGTTGTAAGACATATACTTGGAAATGTATTGGTTAGCTTTATGTGAGAAAATGCCTTCTATACCTGGTCAGTTTTATGGTTTTCCTGAATTCATTAGTAATTGGAGCTTTGTATCCTCCTTTCCTCAGTAAGGAGTCTATAGTCTGAATGTGGTCCCATCCTGTGGAGAGTTGATCAGATAAAATAGCAGTTAAGTACAAATCACAAGCACCTTTGGTTAAATACAAAATGACTTTGTGGATGTCAGCTATCACTGTCCCCAAATTCCATCAACTCGTTTGGGCCTAAAAACAATCATAGAGAACAGCTAAAATTTCATCCTATACAGAAGCAAGTCTATCACCACATATCTTCAATAATAGCTATCCACAATATCTAACAACATTGGTTTCCTGATCTCAACCATATTTGAAGGCAAGGAGTCTAAGAGATAGGCAGTGACTGATAAATTATGTCTGTAACAAACAATAACCACTATACTCTTCAAGAGATGTTACTGTAATAACTCAGTCTTATTTAGGACTTGCTTGCTACTAGATGGTAATTTATAGTTGTAATGGTATCTTCCTAATTAATTACAGAATCAATCAATTTAAATTTGTGTGCAATGCTCAAGGGCATTTTTATTGGTTCAGATAAGGATGGTAACCATACTTATGTATGCTTTATGAATTCAATAGTACTGCAGGATTAAGACATTTTCTAGAGCAACTCAAATAAATCTATAACTGTCATAAGAACTAACTTTCTTATTTGGGAGTTTAATGAGGTTAACTTTTACTATTATGTTTCTCATATTTATATGAGCAAACATAGGCAAACCAAATCTTAAATGCTTTCTGATGAGAAGAAAAGCTCTATTAGACAAAAGATATTCCTTTCAGTTAATATAAGAATTTAGTAGCAGCTAGAAAGGACAAAAATACTATAGAGTGAAGTTTGTGTTGGTTCATCAAGATTTGTGCTATATCTATGTAATGGGAAAATGTCTGTTTATTAGTAATTACCAAGCATATAAAATAATAATACTTCACTTACTCATAATGACCCAGTCCTAATGGGAAACCTACAGTTTTAATATTAGTGGAATGAGTAGTGGCAGCCACCTAAGAATAAAACATTAGATACTGACAATGGGAATACGCTACATGGCGGTCTGTCAAGCTCCAGGCTTGCTCATGCCATAACAAAATTTGTAGAATAATGGAATATGAAAAAATAGAATTTCAGATTAGTAGCAAATCATCAACTAAGTAAGGCCCAAGTTTTATATATCTTTGCCTTTGTTCAAAACTTCAGTGGACATATTCTGCATTAGTATAAGTCACTGATTTGAAAGACATTGCAGTGGCAGTGATAAAAGAGTCATTTCTTGCAATTTGACATTGATCAATTATCAGGCATAACTGCAAGGTCAAATATTACATTTCAATTTGTCAATTTGTTTAAATTCTTCATCAGATCATATGAAATAAAGTCCAACAGTGACCTTGCTCCTTTGCAACCTCTGGTAGGTAGGTGGCGGTGCGTTTTGATCCTTTTTCATTGATGAACTCTATTCTAATGCCATGTACACCCACCTGAAAGAAATGGGCAGTTTTATTAGTACAATCTTCTTCATAGAAACAGAAAAATGTTATAATTTAACTTTCAAGAGAATGCAGTTCTTCCTTTCCCCTTGATTTTTGAAGTGCATATCAGTTTCCTCTTTCCAAAGCTTTGGCTTTGAGTTGGTGAGCCACTACGATGTTCAATGGAGACTCAAAATATTGACTTGTATGGGCCCCAAATGGGTACAGCTATGCTATTGTAGTTAGAAAACTCAAACATCCTTTAGGGGGCTGTGCCACAGTTGGTGCCAAGAATCCTGCTCCAACTCCCAGATTATGATTCATGATATTAAGGAGCTAAACAAAGTGAACTGACTTCAAAGAGAAAGTAAGCAACCATCTTGTTTAGCAGGCCACTCAGCACATCAAATTACATCCAAAATTTCTTGTGCCTACCCCTCCCAAAGTGTCTAGCCCCATTCAAATTTTGACTTGTACGTTGGCAAGTAAAAAGTATCAGATAAGATTGACAAAAAAAGGAACACCACCAGTTGGACATCAAACAGTACAACTGAATTTAAGAGAATGAATCAATTTGAGACAGGGCATTTTTACAGTCTTTCTATTACCCTAACCTAGAAACCACTGTTTACTTTGAGAAATATGAAACAAATTTTCCATGATAAAAAAGGTAGTCTTAGGAAATGTGAACAATATATTGGTAATGTTTTTAAAAGCAGCATGCCTTTCTTTCAGTTTACAATCAAAAGAAACCTGTCCTTTTTCTTCATTTCTTACACAAGGCTAAAGAAAGATTTAAAATTCTTAACTTCTTTGCCAAGATGGTAATAAAATGCAATTTCCAAAGTACAACCACTCTATTCCATTTTCCTAAATCTGTGGTTGTCTAAATTCAACAGTTCCCAAGTGGAATATCAGGCTGTCCAAGGTCCTGGAAGGCAGATGTAAGAGCAGGTGAACATTATTTCCCAGGATGGAGGATTCTTTTCAGAACAGGTGAGTGAAATCACAGACCTTATCCTTTCTATGTATATAGATGTAAAAGTCTAAAACAGGAAAATGGGTCACTTATATCCTCTTGCTGTGTCTACCTGAAAATTTCCAAATTTTTCTGTAATAAAATGTTCTCTGGGAAATCCAATTCATTGTTTCCTTGGACCTTCACATATCTATCCATTAGAGCCTGTCAGATCTTCTGAGTGTTCTTTGTTTTGTATTAAAGCATATCTCTATGGCTAGCCTTCTATATATTTAATATCAATATTCTTATGAATCTTCTTTTGTTAAAAAATGTGCCCAGAGCAACCGTTTAGAAAGCTTAACACAACAAAATTTCCAAGACACTGTGGGAAATCACTGTGGAGAGCTGAGAAGTCTGAGTGCTTAGCTCTAAGGCATTTGCAAAATAAAGGACATCCCCAATGGCTGACATAGCACTGAGGTAATGACAAATTAGTAATACTTTCTGTCTCCTAACTTCCTGATCAGTTACTTTGAAATTATTTTCTTGGACAATATCAGATTCTTTATAATTTGTTTTTTTTAATCCACAGTAGAAGCAATTTATGCTCCATCATTCACTGAAGTGAATTTTGAATCTTCAACTCCATTTATCAAAAACATCTGTCATGGTAAAATTGGAAAGAAATTCAGTATTTATTAAGATGTCTAGTCAAAAAGCTGCGAGAAGGAGATTGTATCCCTATCAGTGAGGTGAGAATATCAGACAAAATCAACAGGACTGGGGTGGTAGGGAGTGGGGAAGGGGCTGCAGAGGTTATTAGAATTGCAAAATGTTTCAAGTATAGTTTGGAAAAAGAACAACTCCCCAAGTGATTTTTATTCTTATTGATCTAGATAGCCCTAATAACTATCCTAGCTCTGACAAACAATGGGTACTGGGAAAAATGACTTAGGCAAATGGGCGGGGGTATGTAATTTAGACATGTAAATCCTTTCTTCATAGGAGTACATTCTATGTTCTTCAACAAAATGTCAGAGATTTTAAAGCCTAGTAATTTACCAATTAAAAGAGGCTAAGATGAATTGTACGGTCTGTGAATTATGTATCAATAAAGCTATTTATATGAAGTTAGGTCAAAATCAAAGGACATGCTGAACAAAAACAAAAATTAATCACAAATAAGATTGCTTCTTTTACTTTTGTATTATGAGAAGGCACCTCCGTCAAATTTGATTTAAAAATAAAAATTCTCCCATTGAGTGCATTTTCAACTTTTGTTTTCTGTGTTCCCCCGATTCTCAACAACTGAAAGCCCCTGTAAGTTTAGCAATTTAGGGCTTTATAAAACCAAAACTAACATGGTTCATTTTTTCCCCAACTAGTAGAGTCAGAACAAGAATATGATTCTTAACAGAATCAAACCATATCATTTTTATCATCTGTTGTGAAACAGAATTTTCTTTACCAATACTGCCACAAAACCATCACATAGTACAATCAAACCAGGAGAATAGAAAATGGTTGCTATATGCCGTAGAAAATGTCCAATTCTGGGCCAACTGTGGAAATCACTGGCTTTGCAAATTCAGTCATCTGCACTAAATGAGCACCCAAACAGAATCCATATTGTTTCAGGGAGGCATATGTCACAGCTGCAACTCCAAAATACAACCTCATGCATAGCAACTGAATCCTCCCTTGGACCGATTAGATGTCCAGCAGCTTCCCAAGAGGCAAATGTATAGTAGCAGTTATCAACTAGATAAGAGATTAGCTAACTAGGGAGCTAGGATTCCTTGAAGTAAATCTGCTCTAAAATTCTACCAAAATAACTTTGTATTTTTAATGACAAATGGAAAGATCTAGAAAAACTATGTCAACAAACATACCACTACTTAATACTACCACTAACGAAAGTACAGCCAAGTGAGCAAAACCTGGAGACTTGCAAATCTAGCCTATGAGAGTCCACAGGTCATTTTCAAAATTATTACAAGGTCTGAGAAAAAAATGCTTTCAAAATCCTTCAGCTGTAATAATACTGTTTTAATCAAGACTATACTTTTGCTAAGCAGAGCTATAAATCAACTCAAATGGTACTAAATTAAATGTAGGACTTATAGATAAGAGGATATGGAATTAAGAGCTCTGTGTGTGCTGAGAGAATATTAAGACCAGTTCAACAGATTCATATTTCATGATAAAAAGAAAGCCATATTTTTGTGGAACCATTCCATAGCAAGTGTTTTTTTTATTAATGCTATTGCACAATCTTTTGGGTATTTTTTTACATTTTTCAGAATGATTAAATATCAAGATCAATGTTAAGACCCTCAAATATATCTTGATTATTCTGTGCTTGATTATCCAGTTTGGGGGATTATGCTTCCCCACTCAACCTGGCCTCAGCCCCATCCACTTTCCTCTCTTATCCATTTCTCTATATTTTTACTACTCTACCAGAGAGCACATGGGCACACAGGAAAGAGATATATGCAAATTAATCAATTTTGCTACATAGTAAAACGTTTGGTAGAAGAGATTATAAATAATGGCCTTAATGAAGCTCAGAGACTGTCTGCAGATTTCATTTATCCTTGCTATCTTTCCTCTTATTATAAACATGGCTTCACTTAAAACTATTATCCCCTAATGCAGCGACCCTCAATACAAGAGCATTAAAAATGTGCCCTCTTCTACCCCATTACAATATACAGTCCATATTACACTCATCACAATTGCATAGTCAAAGCTTAATATACCCTACTTTGTCTATAAGGCAAGTGCTAGTCCTGCAATCTGCTAGCAATGCCACCAAAGGGTCTCACTTTTACTTGTGAGCCTAATCAGCAAGCTAACAATCTGAAGAGGTTGAAACATGGGGGGAAAAAGAATCATCTGGCTAAAAGCAATAAATGTGGATAAAATGTGCTCTGGTGCAGTTGAGTGGGCTCCATGCAGACCTTTGACCATTTGGGTCCACAATTACCTCCACAGTTGTGACCCTCAAAGCTTAAATCTATTTCTGATCATATCCTGGCCAAAAGAAGCAATTTCTTTCCTTAAGTGGAATTGTGTCTCAGCCAATGCCACAGTCAGTCCCATCTTCCCCCATTTCAGGACCAAATTCTGGGTTTCTCTGTAACAATAGGGCTATAGTTCATTCTATTCATTTTCAGTGAATTCATCTTGAAAAACATGAAAAGTATCAAGAGGTCAAAGAATCAAAATGGTTTGACATGTATTTCTGGAAGAAATTGTTTGGCATAATATGTTTTGTAATCACACAGCCAGTTACTGGCCATTTACATAAGAATGACCTGCCAGGCTCAATATGCTAGTCTCTCTGAACTTTAGGAAAGAACTCAGTTCCTAATGAGAGGAACTAGGATATCTGGCATCCCCTGTAACCTTTTCAAGCTGGCATCACTGAAGACACTCCTGTGTGTTCACAAAACAGCTCAGGGAACCACAAAATACTGTACTGGATAATCCATGGGACTGACTCAGAGTCTGGTGTCTCTAATATAGTTAGTAGGAAAAACTGCATGTGTTATCCCTCTGAAAACCACAAAATCCTCTAAGCACCATGGTGACCTCCTGCACTTATCTTCCAGAACTTGCCCCAGCCTAATTCAGCCTTGTTAAACTAGTGACTTCCTTTACTTCAAGAAAGCAAATTCAACACTCAGGAGGAAAATAGATCAAATTTGGGCCTACTCCAAGTTATACTTTTGAATAATAATTATTTGGACAAGAAAATTTAAGAGCTTATTTTCAGAAGCTGATAATGATTTGTTTAGATCCTAACCAACCAATCCCTTTCCATCAAACCTGAGACTAAGAAACAATCATTCAGACTTCATAGTATGTAAAGCTTCCTATCAAGTCCTTGCAGCTGTGGTATTTTACTTTGTCCCTCAGTATGAGAGGCAAGTCTAAAATTCTGCAGGTATGTAAAATCTGACCAAGTTAGAGTCTATAGTGTTGCTGCAATTCTGCTTTTTTTGAATCGGTAACTTTTACTTTTGTAAACCATACACAA